CCTCCTCCTCCTCCTCCTCCTCCTCCTCCTCCTCCTCCTCCTCCATCTCCTCCTCCTCCCTGCTAGCATGGAATACCGTCGGCCCGAGGTATGAGATCGAGGTCGGCTCGGGGAGGGTACCCTAACGTTCTTCGTGTTTGTTGGATCTTATGTTGCATCCCGGGGGAGGCCACCCTGGAGTGATCCTATGGTTTGGGGTGTTTTGAGATCGAGGTCGGCTCGGGCAGGGTACCCGAACGTTCTTCGTGTTTGTCGGATCTTATCGTGCATCCTGGGTGAGGGCACCCTGGAGTGATCCTAAGGTTTGGGGTGGTCTGGCTGGCGGAGGGTCTCGTGTTCTTGAGGGATGCTCTCTTGGCCCAGGTCCGCCTGTGAGGGGCCTGTGCATGACACGCGCAGCAGCTGCTCGGGAGATGGGCGGCTGACCCCCCGTGATGCGCTGCCGCCCACCGCCGGGCCCCCGTCGACCCCAAGTCTCCTGGATTCACGTGGCCCCCCGGAGCCGTGCGCATCGGTGCCGGATCGATCGATACACTGCCCCCTTTGTCTCTGTGTTCTCCCACCTGCCCGAGGAGGCGCTGCGATTCCAAGTACCGTTTGGTTCTGATCGAAGAGAACATGCATAAGCACGATCAAGTTGTCCAAGCTCCGCGAGGATGTCTTGGATCGGCGGCCCCCCTGGCGGCGCCGCCAGCGCCGACCCTGGCTCGCTCCGCGCGCCAGGGAGGGCCCCATCCGAGAAGCTCGCGCGGCGCTCCGAACAAGCGTGTGCATGCCGCTCGCTGCTCCTCTGCTGGAGTCCGAGGAGGAAGACGCGGAGGATCGAAGAAGACAACACGGCCCAAGCATAAAAACATGGCTTGGCGCTGCGCGCGGATCCTGGAAGCCCGCGCTGAGCGCCAAGAGTTTGCGTTTGTGCCGTGGCTTCTCTCGCTCTGGAGAAAGGGTCGGGGGTGGACAGAACCCCCAGCAGTGACACGTCGATTAGTGAATGGAGGGCGCCGTGGCCGTTATTTTCCAGGCCTGCGCCCGCCAGGCTTGGGCCTCGGGTCGTTGTCACTAAACCACGTTTTGCTAGAGGGGGGTCTGTCCATCCCCGAGAAAGGGGGGGCTGGAGGTCTGGCGGCCGACAAGTTGCACCCCCTGCACTGGGTCGAGGCCGTGGGCACCACCGGCTCCGGGGCACCGCGCGAGGCCCGCGGTGGCGCCGAGGGTCGTGGTCGCCGCCGTCGTCGCCGACGGCAGAGGAGGAGGAGGAGGAGGAGGAGGAGGAGGAGGAGGAGGGGGGGAGGAGGAGGCAGAGGGAGGAGGAGGGAGGAGGAGGAGGAGAAGGAGGAGGGAGGAGAGAGGAGGAGCAAGAGGGGAGGACGAGGGGGAGGAGGAGGGGAGGAGGAGGAGGAGAAGGAGGAGGTAAAGGAGGAGGGGAGGAGGAGGAGGGGGGAGAAGAGAGGAGGAGGGGGAGAAGGAGTGAGAGACGACGGGGGTGAAGGGCAGACGGAGGGGGTGTGCGTCAGTGGCTTCCTGCGTGCCTGCGGGGATCTCTTTTGGGAGGCCACGGGCGGCCACGATGGAAACACCCTCGAGCTGCCCGCCCAAAGCCTTAGCAGAACGAGTGAGAGCCCCAAAGTGCAAGCACGCATGGAAGGGTATAAAGTATTCAATCCAGACAGATACATACGTACAAACACATATACGCGCGCACGCATGCGGGCAGGCAGACAGCCACGCATGCATGCATGCATGCATGCATACACATGTGTATATATACACATAAATCGATATACACACATGCATGCAAACCTATGTACATACGCACATACAAACAAACAGACAGACATGAAGACATACCGACCTATATACAGTCATATGCATATACATATACGTACATATATACACACAAGTGTACGGACGTACACGCATGCATACGTGCATACTTATATATATATATATATATATACATACATGCATACATACATAAATACATAAATACATACATACATACGTACATACAGATATACACACTTACATATATGCATACATATGTATATATACTTACATACATGCATGCATGCATGCATGCATACATACATGCATACATACACACATATACACATACACACATACACACATACACACATACATACATACATACATACAGACAGACAGACAGACGGACAGGCAGACAGACAGACAGACAGACAGACAGACAGACAGGCGTACGTACATACATACAATGTATGTGTGGACGTATGCATATATAATGTGCACGTGCACAGTCGGAGGACCAGTGCCAGGGACCCCAGGCTGGTAACTCGACCACACATGTTGGTGTTAGGGGGCCCAGGGGCCCAAAAATCGTTTCCGAAAGCGACCAGGCAGCCGTCAAAGTTGCCATGGACGAAAACTAAAAAGTTCCGAGGAGCCACAGACGGCCCAAGACGGCCCAAAGACACTTCAAGAGAGCCTCAGGACGCAGCAAGACAGCACCACGAGTGCCCCAAAAGGCTTTCAAGAGGCTCCAGGGACGCCAAATCGAATGATCTGTCTTCAGGTTTTTGAGTGAGTCTCGGCTTCTCGCTTGCTCTAGCTTCAGGACGCCCAATACGGGCCACGAGGCCCCCAAGATCGCACCAAAACGACCGAAGAGGCCCCCAAGAATGCCCAAGAGAGCCCCCTGACGTCCCCAGATGAGATGTGTCCGTAGTTCGTCTCGTCTTCTTCTCCTCCAGATTGTCTTCTCGTTGAGTCTTTATGGGAGTGCAAGCTTGCGTGGTGATTCTCGGAGCTCCCTCTCGCATCCTCGTAACAGTCACGCGGCGAGTCCAGGAGCAGCAAGGAGTGTCCAGGAATCTGGAGCTTGGGGGGCCCTTGGGGAGAGTTTGCATTGTCCAACAAAGGGCACTCGAAGGGACCTGAAGGCACTCCACGACGTGCCTGCGGCACGGCGGCGGACCCCCACCCACCCGCCAAGCAATGCAACCCCTAATGCTCACACGCACCGCGGATCATTTTGCCATCGAATGGCCTTCGAATGGCCTTCGTCCTGGCTTTCCTGGCGCTGGCTCCACTGTAAAGGCAGAGCTTCTCATAAAGTGAAGAAGTGATGTCACCAAAATTTCTGGATGTTCTCAGGGTGTGGTAGTGTTAGCATTATTTGCGCCCACTCTGCGGGTCCGTTGTGTCAGATGCTAGAGGTGTCTAAGTTCGCCCAAGAGGCGGCCAAGATCGCCGAAGAAGCGCCGTGGAGGTTGCCAACGCAGCGGTCGTTTGGCATTGTGGCTATACAGAGACATGCGTGTCCATCAGGGCGCGACCTATTGGATTTCGACAAGGCCCAAGATTAAACGCTTGTCCCAGTTTGAAATCAATTCGAAAAAGTCATAAAAGCATGGATCCTCTGAATGTTTTTCCGAAGAGCTTCAGACGAACTCGTGGCCCTCCAGCTAATGATTTGAGACGGGTCGCAGCACGAAGCATTCAGAACAAGGGCAGGATCCTCCTGTGTGCGCGATCGCTCCTGGGAATCACGCGTGTTCACACGAATACTTTGCAATGCCAACGCCCAAACGACAATCCAAGCGATCAGCGGCTAAACATGTCATCGTCGTCTGCGCGTTCGTCGTTGTGTGCCTGCGTCTCCCCTCCTCCCCCCCCCCCCCTGGCCTGACAGCACGGTCTGCCGGGACCCCCTGCGGCGATGCGCAGACGTGCGATGGTATGGTTTGATGTCCGTGCTCTTTGTAGCCATCCTGCCAGGGAGACACTTGCACGAAGCAGTCAGTTGCGAAGCAGCGGTCAGAGGGGGAGGAGGAGGAGGAGGAGGAGGAGGAGGAGGAGGAGGAGGAGGAGGAGGAGGAGGGGACAGGAGGAGGAGGAGGAGGAAGGAGGAAGGAGGAAGGAGGAAGGAGGAAGGAGAGGAGGAAGGAGAGGAGGAGGAGGAGGAGGAAGGGAGGAGAGAGGAGGAGGAGGAGGCGAGGGAGGAGGAGGAGGAGGATCGAGGAGGAGGACCGAGGAAGAGGATCGAGGAGACTCGAGGAGAGGAGGAGGAGGAGGAGGAGGAGGAGGAGGGAGGAGGGGGAAGGAGGAGGAGGAGGAGGAGGAGGAGGAGGAGGGAGGAGGAGGAGGAGAGAGGAGGAGGAGACCGAGGAAGAGGATCGAGGAGACTCGAGGAGGAGGGGAGGGAGGAGGAGGAGGAGGAGGAGGAGGAGGAGGAGGGAGGAGGAGGACCGAGGAGGACCGTGCACGAAGCAGTCAGTCGCGTTTGCCATGGTTTGTGTCATCCATTCCGTCTTGGTCTTCTCTGTCAGACTTGGCTCCGAGCCCAATGGTACGCTCCACGAGCACGAGCACGGCCGCGGCGGGCCCGAGCCTCCATGGCGACTCCCAGGGGCGGAGGAGGCGGAGGAGGAGGAGGAGGAGGAGGAGCAAGAGGATCGAGGAGGATCTAGGAGGAGGACCTTGGAAGAAGATCGAGGAGGATCGAGGAGGAGGAGGACCGAGGAGGATCGAGGAGGAGGGCCGAGGAGATCTTGGGCCGCGTAATTATCGATCGCCAGGCCGTGGTGATCGAAGCCTGCGGCGAGTGCGACGCGGCGGAGCAGGAAGCGGTGCTCGGGGCAATGGTCGCTGCTGGGTGTGAGGGTACGTGCGGGCGCCCAGAAGTGAATTACATTTCCCGTCGCTGTGTTCTCTCATCCGTTGTCCTGTCGTCCCAGATATTGACAAGCGGTTGACCTTCCGTGCGAGGAGGTAAAGCGTCTATCATCTAAATCCGACTGATCATTGGTAGGGTTGGCGCTCTGATTTTTCCCTCGCCTCTCTGATCCTTCCCTCCCGTTCACAGTCGGCTGCCCGTTGCGGGCGCACCGGCCCCAGAAGAGGGGCCCGCGACCGCGCGCGAGCATCTCGGCAGAGCCACGAGTTATTTGTCTGGCTCGGGCCAGGAGCCGGGGCTCTTGCCGGTGAAGCAGCATCCATCTGGGATCCCAGAACCAAGACATTATCATGTTGCGCGTTGTAGATCAGCATTTGGGGAGATTGTGCCAGACGAGGTGTCACAGATCATCGCTCGTTTTATCATGTCACGGTCTATTGGTATTGGATGTGATCTAAGAACGCATTAGTGAGTGAATGAATGAATGGATGAATGAATTGAATGATGTTTGTCATGTTGTCTTTGATAAGAGGCCGAGGGAAGTCCGCCGAGGTATATGTTACAAGGGCGGCGACACAGATAAGTAGTAATAGCACCACGAAGTTGAGGAGACACGCAGCGGTGTTGGTGTCATTCGCAAAACATGGGAGCGAGGTGGAGAGCGAGAAGACACACACCAGCGGACAAATTGAGTGGCACAGACCCCAATGCGGATACGAAGTGAATTGTGTATTAGTTTGTTGGAGGCACAGGGGGGACCACGACAAAGCACGGATTTGCAAGGACCGTGACATTGGCCCAGTTCAGAGTGTAATCCCCCAGACCTCGCCAGGGACTGCTAAACGATAGCCATCCGCTTCGCCTTCGGCCAAAACAAGCCTGGCTATGAATTCAACCCGTTTTAAGCATGTGGCGGCTATAACCAGGATTGCCCCACGCAGAAGAACACACTGAGAGATCTGCAGTATCACATTCAAAGTTCCGCATGCACGCGCGCACGTGCACGATTCGAACAGCAAACGGGAAGATTGCGATGAACGCGCCATTGATCAGGAGGACGGGGGCAGAAAGAGGAGGGGGAAGCAGACGAGGAGGGGAAGGAGGGGGAGGAAAAGGAGGAGGGAGAGGAGGGCTACTTTTCTGGAGGGGAGATTGCTGTGAGTAACGCAGCCGCGCGCTGCATGCTCTCCAGGCCCGTGCGGGACGAGCCCGCACATGAATGCAAAGCTCCAGCGAAACGCACGGGGCCCAGCTCGGGGGCGGCGCGACGCTATGCGGGCGCAGCCACTGAGACCTGCGGTGCAGCTCCTTGTGGGGCCACGAAACGTGTGAGGGGTGTCACGAAATGAACCCGAGGAGTCGTGCGAACGCAGTCACTGAGACCTTCGGTAGAGCTCCCTGTGGGGCCACGCGGCGTGTGAGGGGTGTCACGAAATTGACCCGAGGCGTCATGCGAACGCAGTCACTGAGACCTTCGGTGGAGCTCCCTATGGGGTCACGCAGCGTGTGAGGGGTGTCACGAAATTGACCCGAGGCGTCATGCGAACGCAGTCACTGAGACCTTCGGTGAAGCTCCCTATGGGGCCACGCAGCGTGTGAGGGGTGTCACGAAATTGACCCGAGGCGTCATGCGAACGCAGTCACTGAGACCTTCGGTGGAGCTCCCTATGGGGCCACGCAGCGTGTAAGGGGTGTCACGAAATTGACCCGAGGCGGCATGCGAACGCAGCCACTGAGCCCTTCGGTGAAGCTCCCAACGGGGCCACCAAACTTATGAGGGATGTGCCGAAATCGGCACGTAACGCGTGAGGTGTGCGGTCTTTGGCCACTGGGGTCTTCGGTGGAGCCTTTGGGGCCACGGAACGTTTGAGGAATGCGCCCAAATGGGGGGTCGTGCCGAAATGGTAAGAGGGCAGAAGATGAGAAGGAGGAAAAAGGAGGAGGAGGAGAAGGAGGAGGAGGAGGAGGAGCTGAGGAGGAGAGAGGAGGAGAGGAGAGGAGAGGAGAGGCGGAGACGCGCGGCGCTACGGATTCAAAACGAGGACCCAGCAAATAGGAGGGTCGGGAAGACAAGAGGAGAGAGGAGGGAGGAGAGAAGGAGGAAGGAAGGAAGGAAGGAAGGGGCAGAAGCGCAGTGCTGCGGATTCAATACGAGGACCCAATACACAAGAGGTCTTGGAAGAGGCAAAAGAAGGATAAAGAGGAAGTGGAGGGAGGAGGTGGAGGAGGAGGAGGAGAAGGAGGTTGAGGAGGGAGACGCGCGGCGCTGCAAATTCAAAACAAGGACCCAACGCACAGGAAGGTTGAGAAAAACAATCATACTCCTCCGCAAGCCCATGGAGAGCTCCCGTCGGGAGAGGCCGATGCCGTCCACGGTTGCCGCGACTACCCAACAAGAGCAAAGCGTGGATTTTGTATCGATTGCCGGTTTTCCATGGCTTGAATTGTCGCATCACAGATGACAGAAATACACACGTGTTTTCGATGAACGCCATCGTTTCGGACTAGACGTTGGCTAAAGCCATCGAGTTGTAGATTCGACGTTCTTTTGGCGCGGGACAAGACAGCGATGGCGGCGACGACGACGACGACGAAGACGACTGCACTTGGGAACGAGAGACTCGCTGCAGGCACGAATGCTCAGATAGCGCACAGTTAGCGCCAAGGCTCGGGGAGCGATTGGCAGCCTCGCGTAGTGACCAGAAGGACCCACCGATAAGCGGGATGTACATGACGTGGCTGGCCTGTGAAAGAGCTGGATACACGTGGTCGATGTCGTTCCATTTCCCGCTTCCCGTGCGGCCAGGCACGTTGGCCTTCTCGGGAGCGACCAAGAGGGGGTGCTGACTGGGGGGGGGGATATCATGGCGGGAGCCAGAATTCCCCAGATTTCGTGGCGCCCCTTCTTATTTCAATACGTCCCCGCCCCCTCCCCTGGGCCGCCGCCGGCCATGATCTGCGCCCCCCCCCCCTCTTGGCCGCCCCCGACCTCCCATGTGTGTATCCCGCCCGTGGCGTCCGCACGCTGCGCAGGTGGATCCAAACGTGTATGTGTGTGTGTGTGTGCGCCTAAAGGCCCGGCCGCGCGCGCACAGGCCGCGACTGCAAAGAGTATGTCTGCGTGTTGTCGTGTTGTCGTTGTCGTTGTGTGCGTCGTGTTGTCGTTGTGTTGTCGTTGTGTTGCCGTGAGAGTGTGCGTCGTGTTGTCGTTGTCGGTGTCAGTGCCTGTGCCTGTGCCCGCGCCTGAGTCTCAGCCCGTGTCTGGTTCTGAGTATTCTGGGTATGCGTGTGCGTGTGTGCGTGGCTGCGTGCGCGCGACCCCGGTGGCCCCGCCGCTGGCCCCCTTTTTCCGACGACGACGCTGCGTATACGCACATCGGCGCATGGCAGGCCAAATCTCCCTGCAGTCCCAGGGTACCATCCCATCAGATTGCGTGACGGGGTCGGGTTGGAGGCTGTGGTCGCTAACCCGCTCTTCCTCCTCCTCCTCCTCTCCCTCCTCCTCCTCCTCCTTCTCCTCCTCCTGCAACTGCTCTGCCCTCGCCCTCCCTTTACTCCCTCGCAGAGATGGAACAGTTCGTGGAGTCCTCATTGGATCGGCCTATGCGGAGGAGCGTCCCGCTGATGCTGCCCGCGCCCCACGCGGGAACCCCCAAGTCGGCGACGTGGCCCCCCGGAAGCGCCTTGCATCCCAGGTACCTTCGGAGCCGTTCCCACGACGGCGCCTTCAGTAGTAGAGGCCTGGCATCGTAGATTTGGACCGGTTCTCACGGACGGCCTCTCCCCCGACGCCAGCCCCCTTGCTTGTGGTCTTGGCGGCCCCCCTCGGAGGGTTTCTGCGGCCCCTGCCCTTGCGGCCGGGCCTCCCCGCAGGTCGCGCTCGTGCGTCAAGGATGCGGCGAACGGGCTGGCCGCATCGCTCGGGGTGCTCGGCCCCGCACATGCCTCAGTTCCGGGCTGCCTGTTTTCACCTCGGCCAGCTCGCCTCTGCGAGCACCCGGGTGCGCTCACGCGGTGCTCCTGCGCCAGTTTCGCAGTTTCCTTCCTTCACCAACGCGCTCCACTACTCGCAGAGTGCCTACTCGCAAACGCCAGAAAAACACTACGCAATGCACCGTAGATCCCCCGCGGCGGATGCAGGGCCAGTTGCGAGTGGCTCCTCTGCGAGTCGTGGAGCGCGCCTGTCTCTTCCTGCCTCTCTCCCTCCTCGCCCCGGCCCTTGGCGCGCCTGCCCTCTCGCGGAGGCCCCCCAGGAGGAGGCCCTCCCCGCGGGCCTCGCGGCCTGCCGGCACCCCCTCTTTTTTTTTTTCTGTTGCCGGGCCCACGGCCGCTCTTTTGCTGAAGAGTGAAGGTGGGGGTCGGGCGCAGGGTCCCGGCAAGGGTGTCTCTATGGGCCATGCACGGGCGATGCATCCTCGATTGATGTGTTCGGCGGGGGAACCAATGGAAGCTCCCCGCCTGCACCCATGCGCGAGACTTGAAGGTGAGCGAGGCAAGGAGGCTGGGGAGCGGGGGCGGCTGAATCTGGCGCCCCCGCGGGCTTTGCTGGCGCTGCTGGCTTGAAGTCGGGCACGTCCTTTCACGGGAGGAATATTCCAGAACAGTCAGAAAAGAGTCTGGGGACGGTTCTTCGACGATGCTTGGCTATCTCTGTACATGTTTTGCCTATGTCTCATGCTTTCTGCCACAGTCCGCCTGTAGGAGGACATGCCCGACCTAATGCTGCTGCCTCCTCGGGGCGGCCTTTCCGGTGCCCACGCCGCCGCGGCTGGCCTTCGGCCTCCTCCTGTGCTGTCGCCCCCTTTCTGCCAGTCGTCTGGCCATGGCATCACTGCAGCTTGTTGTAAAACCGCGCCCTTCTCGCCCCCTCGGTCATGTCGTTGTCGTGCGGGTCGGCCCTCTGCCGACCTCGTCAGACCCACGGGTCTCCCATGCCCGGATAATTTCCGGTGGGCCGCGGCGCTGCTTGCTCCAAGCGGCGCGAGGGCTCGGCCGTCAGACGCGCGCACGCGGCCTCTCCTCTGGCCTTGCTGCGCCCTGTCGCTGCGCGCGGGGCTGCGACCGCCACAAAAGTGCGCGTGTGCGCGTATACGCGTGTGCGCGTGCGTGCGTGCGTGCGTGTGTGCGCGCGTGCGTGCAAGCGTCCGTGTGTGCGTGTGTGCGTGCGTGTGTGTGTGTGTGTGTGTGCATGCGTGCGTGTGTGCGTGTGTGCGTGTGCGTGCGTGCGTGTGCGTGTGCGGGTGCATTGTGCGTTGTGCGTTGTGCGGGTTTGGGTGTGTGGGTGTTTGGGTGTGTGGGTGTTGGGGGTGTGTGGGTGTGGGTGTGTGGGTGTGTGTGGGGGGGGGGGCGGGGGTGCGGGTGTGCGTGTGAGTGGGCGTGTGCGTGTGCGTGTACGTATGTGTGTGTGTTGTGCGTGTGTGCGTGTGCGTTGCGCGTGTGCGTGTGCGTTGTGCGTGTGCATGTGCCGCGTGTGCGTGTGCGTGTGCGTTTGCGTGCGGTGCGGGGCGTGGCGTGGGCGTGGTCGTGGGCGTGTGCGTGTGCGTGTGCGTGTTCGTTTGCGTGGTCGTGGGCGTGTGCGTGTGCGTCTTCGTATGCGTCTGCGTGTGCGTTTGCGTGTGCATGTGCGTGTGCGTGCGTATGCGTGTGTGTGTGTGAGTGTGTGGTGGGCGGGGTTTGCGAGCGTGTGCGTGTGTGTCTGTGTGTGTGTGTGTGGGGGGGGGGGGCGCGGTTGTGATTGTGATTGTGGTTGTGGTTGTGTTTTTGGTTGTGTGTGCTTCACGCGTTCTCATACTTGCGTCGCCTCATATCCCCTCGCCCTCCCCTCCTCCCCCTCTTCATTCGGACAGGTCATGGCGGCGCAGTTGGACAGCGCAGCGGAAAGCGAGGAAGACAGATTCGGGCGTGCGGGCATGCAGCATGGCAAATTGGTGGACGCCGTCACCACCGAGAATTTGGTCGAGGTGCTGTTGGGAGGCGGTGTGCTACATGTTTCAATGAACTGATGGTGGTCTCTGAAGTATGTCGGTTCCGCTTACAATAATGACAATGACAACGTCGACGTGACGATAACAGCTTTGCGAGTGATGGAAGTTACAGCTGCAACTTGCGCGATTGTCAGTGCGTGTCATGGTTGACGTGATCACGGGCCCCCATGATTCTTCTCTGATGGGGGTTATTAGAGATCGTGTACTGCCCAAGCGCGCACACACGGCCGAGGGGTGGCACATCGAGCATTTCTTTGATGGTGCGAGTGTTTCTTTGGAAGCGTCCCTTATCCTCTTCCTCCCTGATCATCCTCTTACGCATCCTCCCTGGGCCCCTCCCACCTTTCCCCCCTCCCCCTCCCGCCTCCCCAAAATCCCAGTGCCTCCACCGTGCACGTCTGCCCACCACGCTATTGGGAGATGCCTGCTGGTTGTCTCGTGTTGGCAAGAGACGGGCGTGAGGAGGGGGAGGAGGAGGGGAAGGAGGAGGAGGAGGAGGAGGAGGAGGAGAAGAGGAGGCCGCCGTCGCCGTCGTCGTTGTCGTCGCGGCCGTCGCAGTCGTCGTCGTCGTCGCCGCCGTCGTCGTCGTCGGCGGCGGCGTCGCCGTCGTCGTCGCCTTTCTCGCCGTCGCCGTCGTCGCCGGCGTCGTCGTCGGTGTCGCCGTCGTCGTCGTCGCCGTCCTCGTCGTCGTCCTCGTCGTCGTCCTCGTCGTCGTCGCCGTCATCGTCGTCGCCGTCGCCCTCATCGTCGCCGTCGTCCTCGTCGTCGTCGGCTGGGCCATGCCCTCCTTGGCCCGGGCGGCCGAATAGTTGCCGCGAGCTCGCGCCGTCGCCGGCGCGGACGGAGGCCCCTGGCGCGGGCGTGCGAGGTGCCGGGGGCCGCCAGCGGCCTGGGAGCCAGCCGACGTCGGCCGAGATGCGCTGCCGGAGACCAGACCCCCTCGAGCTTCCTCCTCCTCCTCCCTCCTCCTCCTCCTCCTCCTCGTCCTCCTCCTCGTCCTCCTCCTTCTCCTCCTCGTCCTCCTCCTCATCTCCTCCTCCTCATCTCCTCCTCCTCCTCCTCCTCCTCCTCCTCCTCCTCCTCCTCCTCCTCCACTTCCTCCTCCTCCTCCTCCTCCTCCTCCTCCTCCTCCTCCTCCTCGTCCTTCCCGGGGCCTGGGTGCACAAACCCTCCCAGGAACCAGGCCCCCTCGAGAAATGGAAAATTTTGCTAACGGAGTTCCCCCCATGCGGGTTTTTTTTTTATTGGGGCGCGGACTTACAGGGGGGGTGCAGAAGGTGCAGGAGGGGCAGGAAACCTGATAAATGTAAGAAATCAGGAGAGTTCGAAACCTGTCAAAATCTGCGGCAGTGCCAGACGGGGAACAGGAGGAAGGGGAGGCAACGTAGAGGAATGGGGAGGAGGAGGGAAGAGGCGGAGGAGAAAGTGCAGAGTGAGGGAAGGTGAAGAGGGAGAAAAGGAAGAGAGAAGAGGAAGATGGTGAGGAGGAGCATAAGGAAGGAAGAAGGACGAGGAATCGGAGAGGGAGGACGTTGAGGGGAGAGGCAGGAAGTGAAAAGGAAGGACAAGGGAACAATGGAAGGGGTGAGGGAGGAGCAGGGGTTAAAAGAGAAAAGGCGATGGTGGGGAAGGCGGGAGAGCAAGTAAGGCCAGGAGGGCGGGGAGGTTAGCCTCCTCGCTCTGTCGAAGCCTCCCTGGAGTGGTGGGAAGGGGCGCGAAACCTTGAGACAGTATAGGTTTCGCATACCCTCCTCGCTCAAGCGGGGCCTCCCTGGAGGAGTGGGAGGAGCACGACACCTGATACATGACATGGCTTGCGAATACCCTCTTCGCTCAGGCGGGGCCTCCCTGGAGTAGTGGGCATGGTCACGAAACCACTCCCTGGAGGAGCGGGAGGGTCACGAAACCTTCTAAATGACGTGGTTTTCGAACACCCTCCTCGCTCAGACGGGGCCTCCCTGGAGGGGTGGGAGGGACAAGAAGCCTGGTAAATAAGATAGTTTTCGAATACCCTCCTCGCCCAGGCGAGGCCTCCCTGGAGGGGTGGGAAGGGGCGCGAAACCCGATAAATAACGTGGTTTCGAATACCCTCCTCGCTCAGGCGGGGCCTCCTTGGCGGGATGGTTTTCGACTACCCTCCTAGCTCGGGCGGGGCCTCCCTGGAGGGGTGGGGGGCACGAAACCTTGTAAATGGTATGGTAGCCCCATACTGTCCTCGCTCTGGCGTGGCTTCCCTGGAGTGGTGGGTATGGTATGGTAGCTCCGGTATTGTAGGTGTGGTATGGTATGGTAGGTGGTGTGGTATGGTTGGCATGGTATGGTAAGGACGGCATTGGTATTGTATGATAGGTATGGTATGTGGTAGGTATGGTATGGTAGGTGTGGAGTTGGTAGTTATGGTATTGGTAAGTATGGTATGGTAGATATGGTATGGTATGGTACGTATGGTATGGTATGGTAGGGAGGCGGGAGAAGGAGAGGGAGGAGAAGGAGAAGGACAGGGTGTTCAAGGAAAACGAGAAGCCCACTCAGGATGTGGGGAAAACTCACGACGCGAGGTTTTGCGCCATTTTCGGCATCTGGGGGCCCCTGGACGGAGCCAAGTCCTCGGGGGCTCGACGTCATGAGAAGAAGGCATCGTCGGGGGTCTGGGGAGGCGCCATGGTCAGAGGTTGCCCGAGCCGCGCGGAGTCCCCAGACCCCATCGCCCTGTTGAAAAAACACGACGGGGGGTGTTTCGCCATGTGCGGCCTCCAGGGGCCCTCACTGGGGCTCGGGGCCGTCAAAAAACGATTCGGGACGCCAAACTAGGCCCGGGGAAGGGGTCGAGACCTCGGGGGGTCGAAGTGATGAAAAAATCGCGACGTCGGGGGTCTGGGCAGGCGCCATGGTCAGAGGTTGCCCGAGCCGCGCGGTGTCCCAAGACCCTCTCGCGTTGCAAACAAACAAAAAAAAACGCGGGAGTTGTTTTGCCATGTGCGGCCTCCAGGGGCCCTCACCGGGCCCCGGGGCCGTCGAAAGCCGACTCGGGATGCAAAGCCGGTCCCGGGGAAGGGGTCCAGACCTCGGGGGGTCGACGTTATGAAAAAATCACGACGTCGGGGGTCTGGGTGTGTCGCGTCGACGTGGTGGCGACCTCAGCGGGGGCGTTCCAGGTGGAACGCCACCAGTGATCCCGCGTTGGCCGGAACGATCCGCGCTGCAGGAGAGCTCTTGTTCAATCACCAAGCGCGTTCCACCACTCGCAAAGTGCCCACTCGCAAACGTCCGAAAACACACGCGTTCGGCTCGATATAATTTATCGCAAATCCTCCGCGGCTGATCCAGGCCATTTGCGAGTAGTGATTTTCCGAGTAGTGGAACGCGCTCGCCTATTCAAGGCTGGGCGACCCGCGCGGTGTCCGAAGCCAACACGCCGAAGCGGTCAGGACACGAGCTTGCTGTTCTGAGATGGCCGCCCTCTGCGGGTCGACGCTGCGAAGGAATCGCGACGTCGGGTGGGCTGGGTCCAGAGCCAACCACACGGTGACCGTCGCGACGAGAGCGAGGCCGCAGCCTTCCCAGACATGCGACGTCCTGATGTCTTCAAAACGGCGCCCCTGGAAGTCCCGACCCTCTCCCCGGGACCGGCTTCTCGTCCTGAGTCGGCTTGTTGACGGTCCCGAGGCCCGGCGAGGGCCCCCCGGGCCCGAAAACAGCCGAAAATGTCCCGTCCATATTTTTTGTTTACAGTGCCGTTTTGAATACGTGCTCCGCGTGCGGATCATGTATTAAAAATGCAGGGATTTAGTCTTAAAAACAATGATGAGTTCATTCATCAATTTACGAATAAATTAGTCATGTATTAACAATCGTATGCTTTCAAAAATCCAATGTCTTAAAAACTGCCCTGTACGACGCGATCCTGTCTGGGTTGGTGTCCGTTCGAGAGGGCGGCGGCGCTGCTTGGTCGCGGCGACTGCTTGTGCGTCCCCGCCCCGGCCCGCGCAGGGCGTGCGCGCCCCTCGGCGCCAGGTCTGCGCCGTGCCCCCGGCAGGGCAAGCAGAAGTCTCGCGCCTGCGCTGGCCAGGGGCGTCTATCGTTATGTCGGGCGTGTCCCCCTACAGGGGGACTTTCGGCGAAACATAAAATATACCCCCCAAAAAAATAATCCAAAGATAGTCTGGGGACTATTTTCTTAATATTTTTGACATTTTTGGAGCATTTCGGAGGTATTTTAATAATAATAATAATATATATACATATAACAAAAAAAAAAAAAAAAAAAAAAAAAAAAAAAAAATCCCCACCATGTAGGGGACAGGCCCGACTGAAGTCTATCGGGCCGGGCGAAAGGGGGGATTGGGAAAGGGGGGGTTACGAAATCTGCTGCGTGCAGCTGGCTGGTTTCGGCCTCACCGAGGGGCCCATTCCTCGATACATGGCCGCCTCCAGCGCCGGGAGGCGCCGGGAGAATCAGCTACGTGAGCTGATTCTCAAGCCCCCCCTTTGCTATCACCCCCTTTTGCCCGACCCGAGTCTAGGGTTCAGTCGGGCCTGTCCCTCCACAGGAGGAATGCTCTCAGGAGGGGGAAAAACACACGGACGCAAGTGATCGCCGATTCCCAGGGAAATAAAAGAGAAATATGGGAAGTGGGGGGGAAGACGAAGATCCAGAAAACATGGGAAAAGATAGGGACTCCTGGGGTTTGTGTGTTTTTATTTGTATGTCCTTGGGCCCCTTCATGTTCAAAAGTGATCCAAGAACAGTCTGGGGACGATTGCTTGATTCTTTTTTGGACTATTCTTGGGCATCTTCTGGCCACATGTGATTGCTCCTCTCCCCCAAAATCTGCCTGTGGGAGGACATGCCCGACCCAAGTCTAGGGAGAGGAGAGTGGTGACTGGGAGGAGGAGGCGGGACATCATGGCGGGGGCCACGGTCTCCCCCAGAGCTCGTGGCCCCCGATGCTTCCCAGGGAGTTCGTCTCCGGGCCCCCCTTGGGCCGGACACGTGCCGCGGGCCATGTTTTAGGTCGGGCCTGTCCCCCTACAGGGGGATCTTCGACGAAAAATAAAAAATACCCCAAAAATAAACAAAAAACAGTCCAAAAATAGTCTGGGAACAATTTTTTTATTATTTTTTGGCCTTTTTGGGGTAGTTCGGGGGTATTTTTTATTTTTCATCGAAAATCCCTCTGTAGGGGGACAGGCCCGACTTAAGCCATGTTTTGCGCCCCCCCCCCCTTGGACGGCCCCGACGTTGGCAGCCGGCTGGACCTTGACGATCTTCAGATGGCGGCGTCAGCAGCAACAGGAAAGGCAACCGAGTATGAGAGCAGAGAGTTCTGCACACATGCTCCACGGTGGGTGTGCTGTCATCTGTTCGTCTTCCAGATTGATCCCAGGCTATAGATGCCTCGGCCTATCCTCAAGAGGCGGTTTGTCTTCTTTCGTCCAGCTGTGACCCATGATATGGGGCCATGTCCGCCACCATCTGATGCCTATGGGCCCGCATATCATGGCTCCCCCTTCTTGCTTCGAGGAGTGGTTTTGCTCCTCCAGGTGCTGAATCTGACAGATGACTTGGTTGAGCATCTGAAATACGCAGCCAAGAAGCTCAAGACTGACCCCCAGAAGGACAGGAGAGCAAGGGAGATGGAGGTCAGACTGAAGGACTGACGCCCACGGCCCGCGCGCCGCACCAGACCAAGAGAGGACGCCGACGTAGAATGTGAGGGGGGGCACTGCGCCTGCGTGTTACCGAGTGCTGCTGCACACAAGGCGCGTGTGCAGCACGATATCGCTCACTGCCTGTCGGGGGCGGACAGAACCCCCAAGAGTGACACGTCGATTAGTGAATTGTCCGTTTTCGGCTCTCGACAGGGCGCCGCGGCCGTTATTTTCCAGGCTTGCGCCCGCCAGGTTTGGGCCTCAGGTCGTTTTCACTAAACCAAGTTTTACTAAAGGGAGGTCTGTCCATCCCCGAACCTGGTCCTGAGCGCCAAAGAGTAAAGATCGTAATCGACAGGAAGGCGGCAGACTGTCGAGGCTTGCTGGCGCAGCATTACTGGTCGTCGGGTCAGTTTGTGGCCGTCTGCACGGGTTTCAGGCCGACCTCGGGGGTCTGGAGGGCCATCCCAGGAGGCCGCGGGGCCGCCGTCCGAAGGACCTTCTGGGGGCAATCGAGAGCTTGGCAGAAAACAATCAAACAAACAAACCGATTTGTGCAACACATGTGAACGACGCCAAAAAAATCTTCGACTGCGCGGACACTCGCGCGCAAGCTGCCGGCAAGGTCGCGCGTAAGCGCCCTCGTTTCTAATGTAGCGAGCGTTCCGTGCTGGTGGCTTGCGCAAGCCGCCGCGGAAGGTCGCTATATCATCTCGCATAATACCCAATCTATTGTTTCGTCGCCCAAGTGGCACCTCAAAGGGCTATTGGGTGGGCGTTTGCGATCCTCTTTTGGGCCTGATAGAGCTTGCTGGGGACCTGTTAGGAATCGTCGTGTCGTCGTGGGGGTCGCGAGACTGCCTGGGTGGGCTTTGATGCCAGATGAGTGGGAAGTCGTGAGGCTATGTGTTGAGGGCCTTAAGTTGTCATCTGGCCGTCTTGAAGCGGTCTTGGTTCGCATTGGGGCCGCCTTCTGGGCGTCGTGATCTGCCCTGAGACGGTCTTGGAGAATATGGGGAGCCTTGTCGACCGCCACGAGCGTCCGAAGCGCCCAACGGATCGTCCAGAAACCTTCTGGGGGGACATCTTGGGGCTTCCAGAGTGGTACAGAGGTGATATGTTTATGCATACATTACATGAATACGTAAACATATACCATCACGTTATTTTCACCATTTGTTGTGCGTGTGCTCCATGTGTTTGGTTTTAGGCCCCTTGAAGCCTGTTGGGAACGTCTTTCGGAGGGTCAGAGCCTTGAGCCGTCCGTCGAGAGGGTCTCGTGGGTGCCTCTGGGCTGCCATCGGAACTCTTGGAGCTGCCTGGGGCTGGTCGTCGGCCGGCCGGGAGGAGAAGGCCGATCTTCAGACCGAGCCCGGATTGCACGTCCCAAATACACCTACGACAGGGTGCAGTTGATCAGGGGGCCGGCACAGCCCCCGCACACGCGAGGGGTCGGTATCATTTCAAATCTGCCACGTTCCATCGACCCGTTGGGTCTGCAAGTTATTGTGCGGAGTGGGGGCGGCATTTGATTGTAGTGAATGATAGGATGTCGCCAAGCATGTTGGGGGAGGTCTATTGCGGGCATGGGCTTACTATCGATGCGCGAACCGCACGTACAGTCACATGCGCATTACAGGGGACAATGTGCGCATTTGGTGGGTATACTCGCTGCGTGTTTGGCTCGAGCAGTGTGCCCGTGCCTATCGAATGAGCCTTGCGGTGCCACAATAGACGCTCAGTTGCGCGCATCTGTGTGATGCCTCTGGTAGGCAAACTATTCAAATACGGCAGATCCTCCCGATGTAATGTTACCGTGCGCGCCAGCATAATCAGGACACGGTTACGTATTCTAGACGGGTCATGTTGGTCTCATTCAGGCCAACATTGTTACATGCTGTATAGTGTTGTGAGAAGAAGGCAGCAGGAGTGGAAGCGAGAGGGGCGGTCATCTTGCGTGGGAGCCACCGTAGGACTTGGTCGGCGTCTTGGAGAAGGTGCAGCACAAGACGGGAGAGGAGCGCATACGTTTAAGTATTTCGTGTGGCTTCCAGTTCTACCACACGGTAAATGGTAAACTGCCAATGTCGGGGTGAGACAATTGCAGGGGATACCTAGAAGCATGGGCTTTCGCGGAGGGCGATATCCGGACAGCATATCCGAGAACATGAAAGATTACCTAGAGGCCTTCGGCAGCGCCTGGCTTAGGAAGCAGAGGCTTCTTGGGGTCTGCTGGAAGGCCTCTTGACTGCCTCTTTTGGGTCTCTCTGAGGCCTCTTGGGGCCCTCCCGGGCATCTCTTCAGTGTTTTTTTAGAGGCATGTTGGACACCTCGTGGCCCCCTCTTTGAAGCCGCCTTGGGGCGATGTTGGAGGCTTCCTGGGCCGTCTTGCGAGGATGTCTCAGGCGAGACGGGCGAGATTTCAAGGATGTTTCAGGCGAGCGAAACGCTCAGAGTTGCGGAGATGTTTCACGCGAACGGGCTGGACCACTTCTCTTGCAGCATTTCGGATTTCAGAGTTGCACGGATGTCCCAAGCGAAACGCGCTGGACCACCTCTCGCGAACCAAAACCGGATGCGCGGATGTCTCAGGCGAAACGCTCCAGACCACCTCTCGGGCGGCATCTCGAAATTCACAGCTGCGAGGATGTCTCAAGCAAAACGAGGCTGACTACCTCTCGCGCGGCATTTCGGAGCCCAGAATTGCGAAAAAATCTCAGGTGAAACGCCCAATCTAGGCCTACTCAGATTCGATACTTGTGAGGATTTCTGAGGCGAAACGGCCCAGACCACCGAATTGTCTTGAGGATGTCTCTGGGCGCGCGTCCTTCGACCAGCACTAGTTACGATCTCAACAGCACCCCGTTCAGCAAGCCGCTTGGAGAAAAATGGTTTTTGAATTTGATTCCGAATCCCCTTCCTGTATCGGGTTTTCGTTTTGAATATAGAATTGTGGTCTCGACCTCCACCTCCTCCTCCTCCTCCTCCTCCTCCTCCTCCCCTCTCGACCTCACGACGGTGTCACGGAAGCGGAATTGCTGAAGGCGGCTCGCAAGTTAAAGAATGGTAAAACAGGGGCTGACGACGGGCTGGTGGCAGAAATGTTGAAAACAGAGCATTCGAGGCTACTGCAAGTAATCGCAGAGTTCTTTACGCAGATGGTTCAAGGGAGTTTGGCGCCGCCAGAGGAATGGAAGGCTACGAAATTCCGGGTCCTGTTCAAGAAGGGTGATCCGTCCCTCCCAAAGAACTACAGACCGATAGCCTTGATTCCTGTGATGGCCAAGCTGTTCAGTACCGTGCTGTACCTCCGGGTTGCCTCGGACATCGACTCCAAGCTGTCTGAAGAGCAGTTCGGTTTCAGACCGGGGAGAGGATGCTCGGATGCAGTTCATATTATTCGAACGGTTATCGAAAAGTCGCTGGAGTGGGGCGAAGAATTGTGGATTGCCACGTTGGACGTGGAAAAAGCATTTGACAGAGTCCACCACGCTGCGCTGTTCGACGCTTTGGTGAGCAACGATATCGCCCCGTCTGCTGTGAATGCCTTGCGGCATTTGTACCACGGCGTCAAAGGATATGTCTCGCTTTGGGACGGCGCCGAGAGCCGGCGTTTCGTGGTGCAGAGAGGCGCGAAGCAAGGCGACCCTTTATCGCCGGTGTTGTTCAACCTTGTTCTTGACGGAGTGTTGCGCGAGGTGAGTGTAGTCTGGAGAAAACGAGGTTACGGCACCAATGTTGGACAGGACTTCAGGGGCCATCGCCTTACCCACGTGGCATTCGCGGATGATCAGACCCTGATTGCGCGAAGCTGGCTTTCTATCAAGCGGATGATTCTGACGCTAAGGGATGCTCTGGCGAGGAGGGGGCTGTCCCTGCACCCGAGCAAGTGTAGGGTGCAGACGAACCGGCCCAACTCCCAGCGCAGGGGCCAGGTGTCTTTAGCTGACAATTTCTGCATCGATGTTCTGACGGAGGGAGAGCACCTGGAATTACTTGGGACCGTCGTCTCCCTTGAGGACGTCACCGGGGCCGAGATCGAGAACCGGGTCGTGGCCGGATGGAGGAAATTTTGGAATTTGAAACGTTTGTTGTTGAACAAATCGTATTCTTTGAGAAAGCGCTTGAAGCTGTTTGACGCCACGGTGACAGAGACCGTGCTGTGGGCTGCTGAGTCGTGGACACCGCGAGCAGAGGAGTTGCGGAGACTCAAAGCCACGCAGAGCGCCATGCTCCGGCGCATCGTTGGTTGCGGGCGCCAGGAAGGCGAGCAGTGGGTGGACTGGGTCCAACGTGCCACTCACAAGGCGCGGGAGCACGCAGGCAGCGCTGGCCTCAAAGAGTGGGCACCGGAACACTTCCGACGGAAGTGGAAATGGGCGTCCAGAGTCGCTACATCCAGCTATTCGTCTTGGGTGAGGAAGGTCACCATCTGGAGAGACTCAGAATGGCAGGCCGCCGTGTCCGAGCTGGGATCGTCACGCCTCACACGCCCGTCGTCGCGACCTTGGATGCGGTTCGAAGACTCTCTGCGGAGATTCTGCAAGGCTTGGGGCCTGGGCAGCTGGCAAACAACTGCGAAAGAACCACAAGAGTGGCATCGCAGAGCTGAGGATTATGTTGCTTGGGCTACTGACATTCACTGGTGAGATGGACATGTTCTTCTGAGGCGTCCCGCCCGCCCCGGGCCTTAGACGGGACTTCCTTCCTTCCTTCCTTCCATCCCTTCTTCCTTTAAAGAACTCCTCCCCGTCCCACCCCGAAGCTGGTCGAAAGGGCGGGCCGGGCGTTTCGCTTGAGACTTCCTCACCACTATGGTCTTGAAGCTGAAAAAGCGGCAACAGCTTCACGGATTGAGAACGGGTTGTTTTCAAAATGTAGTTATTGCCGTAGTTCCGCGCACACTCGTATTGAAGAGATGCAAGAGCTTCACGGAATGAGGCTTTTCACACTGGTTATCGCCTTAGCGCCGCGCACATTCGTTGTAAAAATTGCAACATACTCACGGATTACCATGTTTAGCGTATCAGAATTTCTTGTCGGACGAATTCAGGATTGTCAGGGCGCACCAGTTACGTTGATTCGCAGTGTACAGATCCCACGAACGATGTTTTGACACGAGTCAGGATCGTCAAGACGCAATAGTCATGTTGATCGTGGCGTTGAAGTTACGAGGATGGTGTTTCGGAACGTTTCAGGATCTTCAAACGGTTGTCTCCCAACGGGGCACCTCCCTCCGTAAAAATGAACCCTTGTACGGGCCGGTGAAGGGGGAGTTTGGAGGGAGGGTTTATTCCAACGTCGTTGGTGAACATTGGGCTTACACTGACCCTTCTCCTCCTCCTCCTCCTCCTCCTCCTCCCTCCTCCCTCCTCCTCCTCCTCCTCCTCCTCCTCCTCCTCCTCCTCCTCCTCCTCCTCCTCCTCCTCCGTCCTCCTCCGTCCTCCTCCTCCTCCTCCGCCTCGTCCTCCTCCGTCCTCCTTCCTTCCCTCCCCCCCTTTTCCTCCCTGCTTCTTCCATCCTCCTACCGTCTGCCTCGGCGGCTGCGAGCTGAGCAACCGCCGCCACTTTCGCGGGCTCCTGGGCAGCACGGCGGGGCAGGGGAGGACGCGCACCCAGCCGAGACCTCGCAGCTCTCCAGGAGATTACGAGCTGCGCAACTGCCGCCACTTTCGTGGGCTCCTGGGAGGCACGGCGGGGTAGGGGAGTGCGCGCACCCGGCCCAGATTTCGCAGCTCCTTGAGGGATTGCGAACTGCGGAATTGTCACCACGTTCGTGGGCTCCTGGGAGGGAGGCACGGCGGGGTAGGGGAGCACGCGCACCCAGCCAAGAACTCGCAGCTCTCTGAGGAAGTACGAACTGCGCAACTGTCGCCACTTTCGTGGGCTCCTGGGAGGTCCAACGGAGTCGGGGGCCACGCGCACCCATTTGACATTTCGCTGCTCCCTGGGTGGCTGCGAACTGCGGAATTGTCACCGCGTTCGTGGGCTCCTGGGAGGTCCAGTGGAGTCGGGGGTCACGGGCGCTCACTTGAGACCTCGCGGCTCATCAGGTGGTTGCGAGTTGCGCAATTGTCGCCGCGTTCGTGGGCTCCTGGCTCCTGGGAGGCCCAGCAGAGTCGGGGGGCATGCGGATCCAGCCAGCATCATTACTATCAGCATCATCATCAGCAGCATCATCATAAGCAGCAGCATCATAATCATCATCGGCATCATCATCAGTATCATCATCAGCACCATCATCAGCATCAGCAGCATCATCGTCGTCATCGTCATCGTCAGCACCATCATCATCATCAGCATCATCAGCATCATCCTCATCATCATCATCATCATCATCATCATCATCATCATCATCATCATCATCATCATCATCATCATCATCATCATCATCGTTATCATCGTTATCATCATCGCCATCGGCGTGGCCAGCATTGGCGCCGTCATCGGCCTTGTTGTCGTCATCGTCATCACCATCACCATCATCGCTACTACCAGAACCGTTTCCGCAGTTGTCGAAGTCACCATGATACCGCGCCCGCCCGAATTAGCGACCCGCTCTGATGTTCCTGCGCGCCAGCGCGGCCAGTGAGACGCGTTGAGAAGTCCCCATCGGTCAACGCCACCGCGGCCGCGTCCGTTGTGCCAAACTAGCTGGCCGCTCTGCGTGCGAGCTTGCGCGCGCCAGCACGGCCGCAGAAATGCGCCAGCCAGCGCCAAGCAGTTATCGCAACCGCTTCCGCATGAGTTTTGCTAGCTAAGTTCTGGGTGCGAGGGTGGGATGATTGCGCGAGCAGTGGAGCTGATGAGTCAAAGTTCTCCAAGACAGTTTGTACCTGTAGTGTACCACCTAGTCCGCACCACGCAGACTGTACCTGATTGCACCAGTCAGGTTGCACCACATAGCTTGCACCAGATGGGGTACACCACATAGACTGCGCCGCACAGATTGCACCGCACTGCTGGCACCGCATTCAATGTACACATGCAGAGTGCTGCAATGCACTGCTCGGGGCCCACGCTGCCGTCATTGTTTTGCGAAGCCATGTGGTGTTTCACAGGTGCTTGAAGAGCACTGGTCTGATAAGACTGGGGCATACAGCTTTTGAGTGATGTTGACATAAACGCACAGGAGCGCGACCGCGCATGTGGCCCGAATGGTGTCGTTTGATCTGGACTCATTGGAAGCTCACGTGTAAAATCAAAGCGAGCCTGACGCGTAATATCATCGGACAGGGATGCAGGGAGTTGACGGGGGGGCGAAAGAGGGCTTGGCTGGGATGACAAAGATTCATTGTTCAACACCGATCGTTCAGACTCGATGTCAAAAGCCCACACGCGGAGGTGAAGCTATACGAGTCTGACCTTGGCATGCGGGTAGGCCATGAGCTGTGGTGCAAGCTACGTGGTGCAGATGGCGTACGGGGCGCCGCCGAGGCGCCCGCGGACGGCGACCGAACGAAAACTCTGAAGGCCGTGCCAACACACGATGCGCCCATGGGGTGCCCATGGGCGGAGGCCGGGCGGAACTTGAAAGGGCATGCCAGCGCACGAAGCGCACATGGGCGGCGACCAGGCAAAAGTCTGAACTACCATGCCGCAGACAAGTAAATGACAGAGGCTGTTTCAGTGCAAGTATTGCTTGGGGATCAGGGAACAGTTTCTGGAGTGTAAGAACTATCCGGAGCAAAAAACGAAACTTTTGCAATTCCGGCTAAGTGCATTCCCATCTTTGTTGTGGTGTTGGGTCTTCGTTTAGAAGGGACACCGTCCCGCGTCTTTCCTCCTCCTCCGCTTCTTTTCCCGACCTCTGCTCTCCGCATTCGTCACCATCAGAATCATCATCATCAGCATCATCATCAGCAGCAGCAGCAACATCACCACCATTACCACCACGATCATCATCAGCAGCAGCAACAGCCGCATCATCATCGTCATTATCATCAGCAGCATCATCATCTTCATCATCAGCATCATCATCATCGTCATCGTCATCGACATCATAATCATCAATACGGCGCAGCTCTCACGAGGATCGTGGCCCCGTAGGGAGTTCCACAGAAGACTCCAGTGGCAGTGGTTGCATGGCGGCTCCGCACCCATTTCGGTATACCACTCAGGAGGATCGCAGCCCCGTAGGGAGTTCCACACAAGGCTTCAGTGGCAGGGGTTGCTTGGCGGCGCTGCACCAGTGTTCGTACACCTCTCACGAGGATGGAGGCCCCGTGGGGAGCTCCACATAAGGCTCCAGTGGCAGGGTTTGCATGGCGGCTCCGCACCCACTTCGGGACACCACTCACGAGGATAATGGCCCGATCGGGAGCTCCACGGAAGTCTCCAGTGGCAGGGGTTGCATGGAGGCTCCGCACCCAGGTCGGGACACCATTCACGAGGATCGTAGCCCCGTAAGGGAGTTCCACAGAAGGTTTCAGTGGCAGGGGTTGTCTGGCGGTGCCGCACCCATTTTGGCACACTTTTCACGAGTATCGTGGCTCCGTAGGGAGTTCCACAGAATGCTCCAGTGGCAGGGGTTGCATGGCGGCTCCGCCCACATGTCGGTACACCTTTCACGAGGATCGAGGCCCCGTAGGGAGCTCCACAAAAGGCTCCAGTGGCAGGGGTTGCACGGCGGTTCCGCACCCATTTCGGTACACCGGTCACAAGGATAGTGGCCCCAAAGAGAGCTCCATCGAACACCAGAGGAGGAGGAGGAGGAGGAGAACGAGAAGGAGGAGGGGGAGGGGGAGGGCGGGAGAGGAAACCTGTCAGCCCCGAGAGGGAACCCGCCGGGCGTGGATACGTGCCGAGAGGGAACCATTACATCCCGAGTTGGTGGCCCCATAGGAAGACCTGTCGAAAGATGGCCCCAGAACAGGGCACCCACAATTGAATATGGTCGGGTCTTTCGCCAGGATAGGTTTGAATGTCCAGTGCGCGGGTAACGTGCAATTGGTCCCACACATGTGTTTGCCATTCGTCTTGAAGATGTTGTTGGCACACGGTTACAGTTCGTGTTGCGTGTATCCGCAATGCCGCGAGGTATCCGGAATGACGATCAGATGCGGTTCAGTTGGGATATTGGTCGAAGAGTACGAGCTTTCACGTATCATTGAGGACTCAGGGAGGGAGAGAGAGAGAGAGAGAGGAAAAAAAAATGAAAAAAAGAGGGAGAGAGAGAGAGAGGAAAATATAAAAAAGAGCGAGAGAGCTAATCAAGAAATAGGACGCACATTCCAGGTATCTGGCTTCGACAACAAGCTGGCTTCCAAGGTAAAGGAGCAGCGGAATTCTGTGAGGGAGCTAGAGGCTTCGATGGCCCGGATCGTATAAGCCATGTTGACAAACATACATCGCAATGGCTGTTGAAAAGGTGTTTCTGCATGTGTGGTGTCCCGTTGTTTTGTCGCCATCTCGTTCGTCATTTCGTGTGTGAGCTTGAAGTGCCCAGGCGTCAGCATCATGCAGTGCTTTCTCAGCGCATTCGTCGCTCATGCCCTCCATCTGCTGCTCACTGTGGTGAACATGATCCGATCGAATGTGCTACGGCTGTTCTCGGTGGCCATGATGTTGGTTGGGCGTCGTCCGATTCGCTTCAGGCTTTCTTCGTTGGTCAGCCGTGCATCTGTACATGTATATATAGTGGCATCTTAGATGTGGGGATTTCTGAAGCGGCTTTTTGGGAGCCTCTTGGAGGCGGTTGTCAGGGTTTCTTGGGGCCTCCCGGGGGCCTCTTGGGGGCCTCTTGTAGCTTGATGTAGGTCTCTTGGGGACCTCCTAGGGCGTTGGGAGGCCTGCTGGCGGTCTCGAAGGTCATGTCGGAACGGAGGGCGCGACATGTCAATTCGAGCTACCCACCACTCAGCCTTCTTGAGGCGTCTTGGGGACCTAGTGGGCCGTTTGTGGGCTATCTTTCGCCGTCTTGGGGCCCCTCTTAGGGGCGATCTTGGGAGCGTCTTAGGCCGTCTTGGAACTTCGGAAGCCCGAAAAGGCGAGAACGCTAAAGTTCTTGCCAAAAAAACATGGAAAGACTTGATTTAAGCTTGGCCTCAAGGAGCTCGCTCGAATTTTCAAGAATTCTGAAGATCTCGCGGGGCTTGCTTTAAAACCATCGAAATGCTGTGCCGTCCCTCTCCTGGGCCTGGTGGGATGAGTCGCTCACTGCTCCGACGTCGGAGCTGCTCACTTCTGCTTGCAACTCATGGTCTGCGTTCAATCTCCGCTCCACACTCACCCATCTCGGCTGTATAGTTGGCCCCGCGGCAGAGCTGGAGGCGCAATGGGCAGAGCCAGCAGCGAAGCTCTGACACCGTGTCCGCGCTCTGTCTCGCACCCGTGCTGATGCTGCTGTTGCTGCCGTCGCCCTGCACCACGGAAGGGCAATCAGCGCGCTCTCGTACGAGTCACAGTGATATGCTCTCCCAAGGGCCCTCCAGCGGCGAGAGGAAGGCCTGCTGACCCGTCTCTTTCGGGCCCCAGGATCCTAGCTCTCGCCTTCCTGCTTCCGCGACCTCCCCCCGCCCTTGGCGGTCCCCAGGTCCAGGGAATCGGGAGCAAAGCCCTCGCCGCCAGGAGGAGGACCGCTTTTTAGCAGTCGCACCCTGCTGGACCAGAACGTGCGGCCGCCTTGGGGAGGCAGTGCGGGCCCTCGCCCAAGTCGGCCGGCTGCACTGGCGCGGCCCCAGCGGGAGGAGGAGGAGGAGGAGGAGGAGGAGGAGGAGGAGGAGGAGGAGGAGGAGGAGGAGGAGGAGGAGGAGGAGGAGGAGGAGGAGGAGAGGGGGGGAAGGAGGAGGAAGGGGGGAAGGAGGAGAGGAGGAGGAGGAGGAGGAGGAGGAGGAGCTCTGCCCGTGGCCCTCCTTTTTGGCGGCCGCCGGCGGTGGCGTGGACCCGGCGGGAGGCGGCGGAGGCGCGCCCGAGTCTGGGCGCCGATCGGTTCGCGGCCCATCAGGAGGGGAAAAAACACACACAGACACCATTAATCGTCCACCCCCAGGAAAATCTGGGAAAATATGGGAAGTTGGGGGGGGAAAAAAAACTCAAAAAGAAATATTGGGAAATATGGGGAATCATTTGATTTGTGTGTATGTATTTGTGCCGCGGCCCCAGCGGGCTTGTGAGGGCCCTGGGCGGCCGAGCGCCGTGCTGCGCGGGGCCGCTCCGTGCCGCAGAAGGCGGGGGGATCTGGCGCTGCTGGCAGGGGCGGGCCCCGTCGGAAGGTCCAGCGGGCCCTGGTGGGATTCCCTTCGGGGATCATCCGTTAAAATTGGAACGATACAGAGAAGATTAGCATGGCCCCTGCGCAAGGATGACACGCACAAATCGAGAAGTGTATAAATTTTTAAATTATTTATATATATATATATATATATATAGAGAAAAATCCAGCGGGCCCTGGTGCGCGGCATCCGTCCCGCCCTCTGCCCGTGAAAACGCCTGGCCGGTTGGTCTCCGATCCCTCCTGGGCGTTCGAGGCGTTTTCGACTGGGATCACATCCGTGCCACTCTGCTCCAGGCCCCTCCCTCCTGGCGGACGGCGGCCATCCGCATTTGGTCGGGAGGATGGGTCACTGACACACGACTGCGAAATGACTTTCGAGGCTGCTTGCTCGGCTGTGAACCCAGCCGTGATAGTCTATCTCATGATATCTCTTGTCGTAGATTTCTCCGTAATGTTGCCATGGTATCCCGCTCTAATCTCCCTGCCCCCCCTTCCTGAGCGTCTTGCGTTGAGTGAGTGCTCGCTTGTCCGTCTGCGTCAGTTGGTCATTACTCATCTTTTCCATATGCTGCTGCACGCTCGAAGTCGGTCGCCCGACTGGGCGGCGCCCGACCCGCCGACCTCCCTCCTCGTCGCTCGCGCCGCCCGCCTCGCCACGGACTTGCCGATGGGGGAGTGGCGGCGGTCGCGCAGCAGAGGGCAGGGAGGGAAGGGGTAGCTTGACGTAAGGGACCTCTGTGGACGCTCCGCCTCCTTCTTCTTCTCCTCCTCCTCCTCCTCCTCCTCCTCCTCCTCCCTCCTCCTCCCCCTCCTCCTCCTCCTCCTCCCCTCCTCCTCCTCCACCTCCTCCCCCTCCCACTTCCTCCTCCTCTTCCTCCTCCTCCTCCTCTCCTCCTCCTCCTCCTCCTCCTCCTCCTCCTCCTCCATTATTTTTCCTTGTGGATAACTTCTCCCTGTCGCACCCCGAGGCCAGCTTTTTGGGGCGGGCCGGGCATTTCGCCTCAGACCTCCTCACCAGCTATGACCTTGAAGCTTCAGAATTGGCAACAGCTTCACAGATGGAGGGGCCGTTTTCAAAATGTGGCTCCCGCCTCAGCGCCGCGCAGATTCGTTTTAAGAAATTGCAGAAGCTTCACGGATTTAGGGCGACCCGTTTTCAAAATGTGGCTATCGCCCTAGCGCCGCGCTCATGCGCTAAAAAAGTTCAAGCGCTTCACGGATTGATGGGCACCCGTTTTCAACATGTGGATCTCGCTCTACCGCCGCGCACGCTCGTTAACACCAATTGCAAGAGCTTCACGGATTGAGGGCGGTGCCGTTTTTTTCAAAAGGTGGTTTACGCTTTAGCGCCGCGCACATTCGTTAGTCCAAGTTGCAAGAGTTGCACGGGTATCACATGATCAAAGTACCAGAAACTGTGTGCTGGAATGATTCAGGATTATGAGGCGCAACAGTTAAGTTCATTCGCGGTGTCGAAGTCCCAAGAGTGGCTGTTTGGCACGCGTCAGGACCGTCAAAACGCAACAGTCAGGTTGATCCGTGGCGTTGGACTCCCGAGAACAATGTTTTGGCATGCTTCAGGGTCTTCAAACGGTTGTCTTCCGACGAGGCAGCTCTCTCAATGGAAATGAACCGTTCTAGGGGTCTATGAAGAGGGAGCTTGGATATTCCAACATCGTTGATGACTCTTGGGTTTACACTGATCCTCCTCCTCCTCCTCCTCCTCCTCCTCCTCCTCCTCCTCTCCTCCTCCTCCTCCTCCTCCTCCTCCTCCTCTCCTCCTCCTCCTCCTCCCCTCCTCCTCCTCCTCCTCCTCTCTCCTCCTCCTCCTCCTCCTCCTCCCTCCTCCGCCTCCTCCCCTCCTCCTCCCTCCTCCTCCTCCCTCCTCCTCCTCCTCCTTCTCCTCCTCCTCCTCCTCCCTTCCCCCTCCTCCCTCCTCCCTCCTCCCTCCTCCCTCCTCCTCCTCCTCCTCCTCCTCCTCCCTCCCCCTCCTCCTCCACCTGCTCCATCAGTCCTCGTCCGGCCTGGCGCGGGGCGGGCCCGCCGCGGCCGCGCGGCGGCACCAATGCGCAGCCCGGGCCGCGCCTCGCAGGCGCGCTGGCCGTGGCCGCCGCTGCTGGCGGCCGCGGCGCTGGCGAGGTGGCCGCGCTGCTGGCAGCCCGGGCCGCTGCGGGGGCCGAGCGGGCCGGCGCTCGCGCGGAGGCCGTGGGCCCAGACCTCCTCGAGGAGGAGGGGGGGGAGGAGGAGGAGGAGGAGGAGGAGGAGGAGAAGGAGGAGGAGGAGGAGGAGGAGGAGGAGGAGGAGGAGGAGGAGGAGGAGCACACGGAGCAGGAGGAGCAGGAGGAGGAGGTGGAGGAGGAGGAGCAGAAGGAGCAGGAGGAAGAGGAGGAGGATGGACCCAGACCCCGTCGAGCAATGAGAAAAATCACGACGGGAGGTTTTTCGCGATGGTCGGCACCTGGGGGCCCTTGCCGGGCCTCGGGACCGTCAGAAACGATTCGGGGCCAGGAACGGGTCCCGGGGAAGGGGTCGAGACCTCGGGGGGTCGACGTCATGAGAAAATCATCACGTCGGGGCGCTCGCGCGGAGGCCGTGGGCCCAGACCCCCTCGAGCAATGAAATTATCCTGGCGAAGGACCCAGCCATATGGAGTTGCGTTCCGCGAAGCGTGTCAGGGGTATGCCGAAATGGAGGCGGCGGTGCCATGCGAACCCTGCCACTGGGGCATTCGGCGGAGCTCCCTATGGAGGGGCGTGCCGAAATGGAAGCGGCGGGCCATGCGAACCCTGCCACTGGGGCCTTCGGCGGAGCTCCCTATGGGGCCGCGAAACGCGGGAGGGTTGTGCTGAACTGAGATGGGCATACGGAGAGCAGAGGAGGGGAGGAGGCAGGAGGAGGAGAGGAGAGGAGACGCGGGGACTGTCTCTTCACAACGAGGACCCAGCACCACAGGATGGTAGGGAAAAAGCATGGCGGCAGGTTGTTCGCTATTCTCGGCATCTGGGCGCCCTCACTGGGCCTCGGGACCGTCAAAAAACGACTCGGGACGAAAAACGGGTCCCGGGGAAGGGGTCGAGACCTCGGGGGGTCGACGTCATGAGAAAAGCATGACGTCGGGGGTCTGGGGGGGGGTGGTAAGGGTCGATCGCCCCGGGAAGA